CAATGAATTTGCGAGACGAAGAGGCCGCCATGAATCAGGTAAAACAATATGTTACATGCAATTTGATTGGTCCAATCGCTTGTAGTTAACCAATCGCTGGGCCGTATATAATCGAGCTAAGACTCCCGCAACAAATAATGCCTTCAATGATCTGATTAGTTTAAGCTTTCATACACGTCCAATCGCAGGGCTGTTTACAAACGGAAAACAGAGAGACTGTTCGGGAGAGCTCGTGAAAACTCGACGATAAGGTATCTGACCGCCCCTAAATTTTTCTCAACGGATTTAGACGATTCACAAAAATGATCAATTTAAGAAATAAAACGGCGGATTTCCGCGGATCCGCGGAAAATTGCCATGTATGGTTCTTTAACTTCAACACACCAATCTGTAACTTGCCGCTCTAGGCAGTAGAATTCTTGAAAGTATAATACTTTTAGGATGAGTCGTTTCAAGAAATGTGTGTCTGTGATGCTCTCACAGGAAGTCACCAAAAATAGAGAATATAAACTCTGTACGATGTAAATAAGTTTGCCCGCAACAATTTTTGTGTTGTTGTCGGAAGCGTAAGCACACGGCTACGCGAGAATCGAGACTTGCGGCAGGAAAGGTGTGTATGCGTTATACACACGGAAACGCAAGGGCAACTTCATTTATTCCCTCTGGGACTCGTTTTGAAAAATGACTATATTTGGTATTGCGTGGATGAAACACCGAAACGAATAAAAGCGGGTAAACTCGTTTCCATGTTGATGCAGTCTTGGTGTTGATGACAGCGACTTATTGTGACAGGCAGAACAATTAGATGCTCTTGTGGTGGACTATCAGGCTTATGTCATTTTCCGGATTAGGAGATGATGAGGGTAGTAATGATTTAAAAAAAATGCTTAATACATGCTTGTTGAATAAACAGAACTTTATTGGATAAAGGATAGAATGCTATCTTTCTTATTAGAACACAATACAAACATTTTGTTGGGGTTTTTTTTGGAGAGGCTGAAAGGGATTAATTAACTACGATTGCATTCATTTCAATGAAGAAATATGATTTGAGATGCAAGCATTTTGAGTTAGAATGAAACTCGTATCGCAAGGTACCACGGTATACTTTTTGCAACATTTCTTTTTTGTGAGATTATCCTTATGTAAAACATGTGCCTTGGCGCAATAAATGTTGTGAAACAGTGGCAGCGTAACTTACATCTGAGAGCCTTCTGAACCCGCCGCAGCTTCATGGCCGTTCTGTACGCCGAGAACTTGATGTTATTCAGATCCGCTGAAGGGGAAACAAGGGCATAAATGTTTATTATCATACCCGTGCAAGATGCCAGCCGTTGTTAGCTCTTTGCGTCCCTTTTCCGTGTGCCTCTATTAATTTTGTCAAATAAGGTTAACATCACCAACGCATGACTTCGTTTCATTACAGTTAATTAAAGGTTAAGCGAAAGGCAATCAGCGCAGCAGCGATGCGGTCCCTGAGGTTTTTTTTTTTTAACCCAAAAAAACAACACGAGGCTTCTTCATGAAATGTATGACAGTTTGCGCCCTCACAGCTAAAAGCCTCAAGGTGACGGGAAAGCGGAGCCACTGCGGCCCGGCGGAGGTGCGTGACTTAACGTGTGTTTCCGCTAGGTTATACACAGAGAAACATAAATAACGGGAAAACTTAAGACAACATTTAATCTCAAAATTTACTAAAAAAAAAAAAAACAGGCACGCAACTCAACTCAACTTTATTTATAGAGCACTTTAAAACAACCATGCATGCAAAGTGCTGTGGAGCAAAAATTTGTCATACACCAACACAGCCAGTTAAAATAAAATAAAATAAATTAATAGCATAACAGTAAACACCACAAAACACAAAAACAATTCCGAGACGCATGCTGACTCATTAGCCAAAGAATAAAAATGTGTTTTAAGATGAGTTGAGATGGGTAGAGAGGGGCCTTGCCTAACATTTAGCGGGAGGTTATTCCAAAGAGAGGGACCAACATGCAGGCTTTGATTTCCTCCAAGCAGGCCTCAATTTTTTTTACTCAGTGGGACATAGATCTAACAGTCATTCACATCATAGTGGGAGCAAATATCATTTTTTTCTTAAGATGTAACACAAGGGCAGAAGATACAATGAAAACAGCAGAGGCCCCAGAACTGAACCCTGTGGAACACCACACAAGTGTGGGGCAGTGTGGGAAAAAATAAATAAATAAAAATAAATAAAAAATCTGTCAGACAAGTCGGACAGAATTTGATTAATCTGTTCGTTATTTTTTCACTTATTCAATGAATCTGCAAAATAAATAAATAAATAAATGAAAGTCCACCAATATACTCAAAAACAGGACAATGTCTCAAATTGACAGTGTAGATAATACACAAACTTAAATGACTTAAGATTCACTTACTAGTTTGATTGGTAACATGTCAGAATTTTTTTTTTTTATCATTTTCCGAAGTACGAAGAATGCCTTATTTGCAATGTCTAGTAGTCCCCCCACCCCAAAATAAAGACAACTTATCATAGCAGTGCAGCATGCTACTAACCAAGCACTTGGTAGAGTTCTGTCATCTTTGGGTGGTCCCAGCATGTAGTCTGTGCCTGATGGCTGAAGAAAAGCACAAGAAAGGCACAATTCAAGCATTCATGTAGCGCATTTCAATTGCAAAGGCAAGATTAAATGTTTCCCATTAAAAAATTAAAGCTACACAAAGTGACAAAAAGATGAAACCACAGCAGGGCAACGAAAAATATATTTTTTTAATCCAGACAAATGCAGGTTTGTTGTCGGTTTTGTTTTGTTTTTCTGTCTTTCAAAAGGAGGCTCAAATTTTAAGAGTGTTGGCATTGTCTCATGTCTTTGCTCTTTTCAGGCAATTTATTCCATATTTGAAGGGTAATAAAACTGAAGACAGCTCCACTGTGTTTTTGTTCTGGGCACAGGGGCCGCTAGGTCAACTTAAAAAGAAAAGAGACAAAGCTCCTAAAGTTTGTGTTGCAAGTGATACATATAAATATTCATCATTGGGAGTCTAACAAAAGAAGCGGCAGCACTCTAAAGGTGGTCGCATATTTGACGAACAGTTGAATGCGTGAGACATTTCCTTGCCCAATTATTTACTAATCTTGATTTTTCATAGCAATTTAAACTACGGCCGGCATAGACCAATAGCACCATTTCACGAGGCTGGAAAAAAAACCAAAATGTATTTTTACAAGGAAAAAGATGCTCGGATGTATGAGAGGAACAGAGCAATGCAATAAGCAATACTGGCAATTCAATTTTAGATGTAATCATTGCAATGCTTTTATGTTGTATGGGATCCCATTTCATTTAAATTCCTCATAAGTGTATTTTATTGGTTTGGTAGATACAAAGACTGATAAATACCTGTAAATATTTTCAAAATTAACTGGGTTTTCTCTTCGCTTGAGTGTTCAAAACATACGGCCGCAAATCCGATGACATGACTACAAAGTCGATCATCGAATTGTGGCCTGTGGCGTCCTGGTGCCAAGTGCACATATCGATGTTTGAAACCATGTTTCAGACTATTTTGTTGCACAACCTTTTGAGGCAATCAAACATTTTTTCTAACTTTCAGTGAGACTTCGGCAACATCTATTTTATTTTTTTTGGCCAACTCTTCATGTGCAAATTGCTCCAATTGGCTCAAGTTTGAAGGTGAAATAATAGGACTGTATGACTGAATTCGATACAATTTGTTCTCAGAAAAATGCTCAATGATATAATGATGGCCAGCCCCACTCGTCTTAACACAGCATTCTTATTAACGTCACATTTGTGGAATATGAGTTAAGCAGTAAAATCTAACAGTTTTTATCCAACTCAGGGGGCGGCCATTTTACCAAAAGCTGGCGACTGAAAATGACATCTCGTTTGCTCAGGTATCAGGTAACGACCAATCGCGGTTCACCTGGTTTTTGAAGGTGAGGTATGACTGGTTGTTACCTGAGCAACTGTGATGTCATTTTCTGCTGACTGAAAGTGTCAAAATGGCCGCCCGAGAGATGGCTAAAAACAAGTGGAGTTTCATATTCCACAATCACATTATTAGAATGCCATGTTTACACTAATGAAGGCGCATAGTACATATTCTGAAGAAATGTTTTGGGTTGACTTTCCCTTCAAGTGTTGATGTCACAATGAGATTAGCGTTTTTAATTTGTCCAAAGTTGAGGGCGGGAGGAATGATTGATTTACTATGTTTTATTGCTGCACAGATATGTACGTTTTTAACCCGCTCACAATTCATTGTAAATTATTTTGGCAGACACCAGTTTCAGAACCTCTGCTTTATAAGATTAACTACTGAGACATTCAGACTGCTCCACGAGGTCATTGTGGAGCAGTGGAGAGCAAATACAATTGGCTTCAAACACCGGTGGGCTTGACAGTGATCCATGACTTTGAAGTAATTCAACCAAAAATGTAAAAAAAAAAAAAACATGCCCTCCCTTCTTTTTTGGGTGCCTCTGTCGCCAGGAATGAACACGAACCGTAACAAATGACCGTGATGTTGCACTTACTTGATGTAATATGGCACTTTGTTCGGTGAGATGGCACGCTCCCATGGTATCTGCACAGAACCTAGATGCACGCACACACACACACACACACACACACACACACACACAAAGAAATGTGTACAGCGGCGTAAGCTAGCCATGCGAGAAAAGCCACACAGTGCACAATAGCCTCTGTGACATCGGCCCCAGACAGTGTTGTCCATTCAGACCTAATTAAGGGGGCAGTTCGGGCGTGGCCAGACAAAGGACAAAAAGATAGCTGCGTTTGTTCGGAGGAAGAGGAGTGAGAAGGGTGTCAATGCTACGCATTCTGAGTAATGAACCTAGTGGGCTTTTGAGCTACATTTGTTATTTCAGCAATGCTATTGCGAACTTCATGTCAATGCAAACAGAAACTAGCGTTGTAGCGAAAATGAAGAGCCAATCAGAATGATTCAAAACAGGTTCAATCCTGAAGCTTTTCATTAATTTCCGGATAAATACAAAATTACCGAGTATATATATGAAGTAGTGATGTTCAACAACACTTTTATCACGCCTGAAACAATACGAAGCGAGTTCAGGAGCTTTGGACAAAAGTATTCCATTTCGACAAAAGTAGTCCTTTGCTGCCATCTTGTGGCACCTATTCGCAATTTCATACCACAAACATGCTAAAATAATGAGGATCAACAAGTGGCCTAATGATCTATCTTCTGGTTTCTAGTATAAGAGCATTTAATGATTCTGGGTGTCACGATACATCGGTGGCATAGATAGATGAACAAAGATACAATATTTGACAATAATAAATCCTCATTTTTGGACCAATGAAGTGACATCTGGGTAAGTTCCTACAACGCAACAGATATTTTATCGAAAATTCTGATCTGTCCGGAGGAGTCGTACCTATCCACAAACATCCAAAATGGTCAGAAAATGTGCAAAGAATGAAATGACTGTATTTGAATCCATGACATTAAATGCAGACGAATATCGCATGACTTAGTGCCAGTCTCAGTCACAGCCGTGAACGTCACGCTCGAGTTCACCTTGGCAGCCGAACAGAAGACAAACTGTTGAAGACCTCAGCTGTGTGTGTGTGTGTGTGTGTGTGTGCGCGAGCAAAGGCAAGCAAAAGGGCAGCGAGCAAAGAATGTGCATCCTCTTTAAAAGGGCCTGCGGTGGTAACAAAAAGCATGAAAATTTAGCACAGTGCCGTAAGTCAAAATCAATTGTTTCTCATCATTTTAACTTGCTTTTCTAATGTATGTTGCTGAGCCCCCCCATGGAGAGGATGCAGCTCAAGGCAATGCTTTTGACCAGTCTGACCTAATGAGCATTTACGATATCAACAGTCCTGAATTACAGTAATTGTTGCATGAATGAAGCCATTTTTATGGCAGCCTGTTTCTACCAGTACAGAAAAATGTAGGAACAGAAAAAAAAACAAAAAGTCTCTGTTAATTTTCCTGGTCTTCTTGTGCTCGTTTTTTTTTTTCAAATATAGCAATCGGTTTTCATTTTCTTAAAATTGGTTAATTAAAATGCATTCAAAAATAAAAATCCTTCAATTTACCCTATTAAATAATTGACAAATTGATTTGTGATAAAGAAAAAAACATTTAACATAGGATAAAACAGGCATGAATTATTATTTCAGACACTTTTCCTTAAAATTGGTAAATTGGAATGTATTAATTCTTTTATAAGTCATATTTAGTCCTTTATCTTATTAAATTGGTTAACTGAGTTCATGTAAATAACATGAACATGCTAGTAGAGTACACCATTTTGTATACATGATTTATGATGTCAACTGATTAAAAAATGATTGACAATTGTTTCTGAAAAACAATTAAAGTTATGATGCAGTTATTTCTCTCCTAAAATTGGTTACCGATAATTTAAATTCATTTTTGGATCCTTGATCTGATTAAATAACTGGCTAATTGATTTACTGTAAATATCGAAAACAAATGTGAGAAAATTAAACATTTTCAATGATTATTCAATTAAAATTCATATTTAATCAGACCATGTCCCATATCTTGCATACCCATTTCAACTTCACTTTTAGCTCACCTACGAATGAACTGGCTTTTTTTTTTTGTTTGTTAGTTTGTTTGTTTTTTGGCCCTTGTGCACAAAAGTTTGCTCGCCGCTGGTTTAGACAGTTAAGATGAGCACCGCCTTCCTTTTTATGTCATGCCTGGGCATATTGGTATCATAACAAAGCTCCACAAAGCCACCCATCTCAGCATGGCGCGGCGAAGCTGCACTATTTACACCGCACCGATGGCAACTGTGAGCCAGCATGACGGCAGTAAAAACTGCACCGGGCTGCCGAGAGGCTCCCGCTCAGTCACGCCATTACGCGTCACCGCAGTCTAAACCGGGCAAATTAAATCACATTTTTCGGCTTCTCTGCAGCCTCTCGCTCTCGTCTGCACAGCGGAGGCTTGAACGAGAGACAGAATTTCGAAAAAGAAAACCACCCAGCTCCGCTCATGTGAGAGCAACGAGCTATGTGATGAGCACCGGCGGGGAGGCTTCTCGCAACACGAAGACAGACAGAGCAAGCATGCGAGTTACAGCTTCAACCGCAATACACACGAGAGCTGGGACGGCGTACAGCTTTGTCACGCCAAACTACAGTATCCAAAATTGAAAGCGGGCATTTGAGGATGCTTCGAAAAACTCATTTCGTGTTCAAATCAAACACCAACCATCCCCAACAAAATGTCAGGCAAGTTGTCATATATGGAATCAGTCAGTCATTCCCTACTTACGAATCACAGTACAGTGGAACCTCTACTTACGAAATTCATTGGTTCTGGAAGAAATTTCTTAACTAGAAAATTTTGTAAGTCGAGACGCGTTTTCCATGTAAATGCCCTAATCCGTTCAAAGAGTGTGACATCATGGTGAAAAGGTCGACGGGTCTATTGATTACTTGAAAGGAAGTGCTGCGATCCAGGGCCAAAGTCTCGATGCGCGTCCTGGAGTTGCTTTAGTCTCTCCTCAATGGAACCCTGACAGGACACAAAAACGAACACATCGCATCTAAATCAAAGGGAATAATGCTGCGTGTCACTCTCCCCTCACGAATCCCCAACCATGGCGGCGCATACACGCACAACACCCGCTTCTGCACGAATAGCAAAGCGTGGAATATAAACGATGTCTTTGGAAAACGGTTCCTCGTCCTGAAAGACTTTGAAGAGCCTTTTGAAGAGCATCAGGTAAGAAAGGGCGACACAGATCACAGAATCATAAATCGCGGTGGAAAGAGATCAGCGATTCCTCGGGGGCTCCGGCTGGGAACGTGCGAAAGAGGGGAAGCTGTTGAAATGAAAAGTGAGGTGGATGAAGGGTATCGCCGTTCGCATGTGTTGAATCAATAACCATGAAGACAAAACCGTGGAGGGATGATACTATTAGGTTTGCAATCACCCTTGCGGGAGCACTTCGATTCGTCAATCCACCCCCCCGGCACGGGAGTTCAGGTGTCCTCTCCTTGTTTCGATGAAATATATTGGATAAGGTGCGTAAATTACACTCCTGTCAGCAGGGTGTTGAAACGCATCCGCAAACATTGGGAGGTACATCCAATCCCGGCTCAAGAGACTCGGATCAAGAAAGACAAGCGTGGGGACTTGAAATATTAAAGCAAAGGCGATGACTCACATACTTTTAAAGTTATTTCTCAGGGTGCGCACGTCCTTGAAAATGAACTGCGATGATCCGGGCCGTGACGTAACTAATTGCTGCCAAGCCAAATGTGATCTGCTGCGCTATGGCAATTTGAGCCGCCACATAAGGAAGACAAATGCCTACATTAGCCCGGATCGACAAATATTAGCAAATCAAATTTGGACATCCATTCTGGCTGAGAGTGTAGTAGCCAAAAATCAACGCGGTGCAGGAAGTTGGGTGGGATTTCGGATGGGCAGCTTTCATGAAGATGGAAATAGTCTTAGCAGAGAGTGCCAAAATGAACAGTTTACCTGAAAGAGTGTTACGAGGGGAAAAAAAAATTTAATCTATGATTTAAATGTTCAAACTGTGCATAATGTTACAGTAGCTTGAACCTTTTTTTTAAAAAAAATCCAGTGCAGTACATTTGTTAAATACAGTTCTGTTGTATTTAACTTTTGTGTAAATCACATTGGCATTTCATCTTTAGAACTGTTTGTTTTCAAACATTTATACATAACACTTTTAAAAAACATTTTTCCCCATAACGGATCAGAACTTTAAAACAGTGTTTTTTTAATGTATTTGCAAGTCGGCAGAATGTGTATGGTGACACATTGACTGACTGCAATATTAATTATACTTTTCAGGAAAACCTCTGGCGTTTTTTTAATTTTATTTACATTTTTTTAAAGAACATTAAGGCCTACGACACTACGAAAATTTCTAGGACATACAAAGTCACAATTTGAAATCATGGAAAAATATGCTGTCAGTACGATGGGTTAGTGGCAAACAGGCCTGCTGCTCAGATCTGAGAGTCGATTTTGGAAAAGTCAGCAATCTGGCAAGTAACAGTAATGAGGACAAGAGGTGTAGGTGATGAATGCTAGACGGAAATTTCTATCACACGACAGAGAATTCCAGAGACTTAACCAATGTCACATGAGTCTTTCACAAATTTTCGGACACTTCAGCAAAACGGTTAAAGAGTCCAAGTCATGCGTATTCGTAATTGTCTGGTACAGTGGAGATGATATTCATGAAGTAGTTTAACAGTCAAGAGGGGGAAAAAAAGATTAAAAAAACAAAACGATTACATAACTGCATTTTAACCAATTTTCCAAGTGAGTCAATCATGCAGGAGCAGTCTCACACACTTTTTGTTTTCAAAGGAGGGATTAATGAGAAAATATGTTCGTTAGTAGAGTTGTGGTGCTGAACTGCACTGAAAAAAAAAGGTGACAGGTGTTTATCATTTTATCCCCACTGTCATTAGCAAAATAATATAACAAATTCAGTGGTTGGTGAGTGCAACAAATATGATCAGCGCATAAATAGTGCGCTTGTGTGTGTTTGTGTGTGTGTGTGTGTGTGTGTGTGTGTGTATACAATTCAAATGAGGTTCGGAAAGAAAAGCTCGAGAAGAATGGCAGTGTGACCTTGCGTCGCTGCCAGCAATCCAATAAGTTCAAGGCGGAGGACAAAGGCTACTGTTGAAACAGCCAACTTTACTTGCTTCACCGGATTACAAAACAAACCCTCTGGTTTAATCTGCGGCGTGTTGGTGTATCGGCCAACTGATTCACTCGGAACCGTTTCATCGCCTCGGAGGAAAAAAAAAAAAAAAAAAAAGGAAATAAGGAAGAAAGAGGCAACAAGTGCACAAATGAAACTGGAGAATTGATTTCTAGGACAAAGACAGAATCGAGAGGTTCTTCCAATTTTGTTATGACCTTCTCAGACACATGATTTTAATATACATGGAAAAATAATAAAGGCTGATTGGCTTCAACAGTTGGACCCCCTGCGGGACAAACTCAGGGAAAATCTCGTCAGCAGTAAAATGAAGCTCACCTTTCATGGACTTGAAAAAGGTTTGACAAAACATTAAAGTAGGGGTTAACCTTTGTATTATGTCGACACATATAGGTATGCATTTTTATTTTTTTTAAGTGCTACAAAATAATTTGGACTCCCAGTTTCAGAAAACTGCAATAAAGCTTCTCGTGTTTATGGAAACTTTGGATGTGAGAGGATACGAGCTAATACTGGAAACCAAGCCATCATTTTGTACCTGAAGCAATTTCCATCTGTTATTGAGGTGCTCCAGGGCGCGAGCATTCTCCATAGACAAATGGACGTCGGAAATGGCCAACTGGTGGGCCAGGTCATTGATGTGCTTCATTCCCTCCTTCACCTGGGTCAGTTCTTGCTTGAAAAGCTGCAGCAGCGCAAGAGGGGGAATCAATCATTAACAGTGAAATTCCCGTATTTTCTGCACTATAAGTCACTTTGGAATAAAAGACGCACCTTGAATGAATGGCCTATTTGAAAATTGTTTTCATAGATAGGGCGCACCGCATTATAAGGCGCAAAGAAGAGAAGCAACAATACTGGCTGTGGTTGCGTTATGCATCCACCAGATAGAACTATGCTAAAAGGGAATACAATACAATACTATATATATATTGCAGTGTGCCTCAAGTGGGGTGTTAGAGTCAACAAAAACAAACAAACAAACAAACAAACAAACAAGCAAACAAAAACAACAACAAAGATAAATAAAAATTAGGAGCAGGCTTGTTTTTCAGAACACATTACTGTTGCAGGGAAAACAGTGACAAGCGGTGACATTTTCAGGCTCACCAAGTGATCATCTCACTTTGAAAAAGCTCAACAGATTAATGACAGCTGATAACGATCAACTGATGCGAGCCGGCAGCCGATGACAGCGTCTTATTAGCATGCATTGTCACGTCTGCTTATTGTGCGCGTGCCTTTTCGGGATTCATCGTTCGGTGACTGACAAGCTGCCCCAAAGGCTGGAATGAAGCGTGCCGGCTGTGACAAAAGTCCACACTGCGAACATGATTATTGTGCCATTTTGCCTAATGAACGGCAGCATGCAATTATAAGTGACAGCGACTCCTCCGTAATGACGAAGCCAATGACCTGCCGCTTGTTTAACAACATCTGCTCTTGCGAGGATTCTAACCCAAGCCATCGGAGAGTGTCCTTGTCATCATCATGCCAACAAGCAACACAGGGCTAAATTATTGATGAAAACACTGCCTCTGAGTTTTAATGGATTAAAAACACTGTTCTGTATGGGCAGGATTGCTTTCTTCAAGTCATACCCGAACGAATGGGTCATACCTTTAAATCTTAAACAAGTCACAAGTCACGTTACCTTATAAACCCTTAGATACTGTTCAAGTCAAATTTGACTTACCGGATTTTCCGCACTATAAGGCGCACCAAAAAGCATTCACTTTTCTTAAAAGCTGTCAGTGCGCCTTATAATCCGATGCGCCTGATACATGGATCAGTATTCTAATTTCTTGGATGTAGTATTTGAATGTTCTGTAAAGCGCTTTGTTACAGCTGCAGTGGTTGTGATAGCTCGATATAAATGAAGCTGTATTGTATTGTATTCCTTTTGGTGTAGCTCCATCTAGTGGATGGATAACGCAACCGCAGCCACTATTGTGGCTTCTATGCGCCTTGATGCGGTGCGTCCTATATATGAAAATTGTTTTAAAACAGGCCATTGATTGAAGGTGCGCCTTATACTCGAAAGCGCCTTATACTGTGGAACATACAGTATTTTAGCACTAGACAGCAATAACCACCCCCCAAATGTCATTCTTTCAACTTGAAATTTGACGACCTTTTCTAATTACAGTGATGCCTTGAGATACGGGTGCCCCAACTTAAGTTTTTCAAGATACAAACCATCATTTGGCAGATTGTTATTATTGTGGGGGGGGGGGGTGCCTTAACTTGTGAGCAAAAATGTGAGACATGAACACTGCTGGCAGTGACCTCAACGCAACTCACTTCACAGCAAGCCGTCTAACAGACTGTGAAAGATTCTTCAAAAGTGTTATTGTCCAACCAAACATGAAGAGAAGTATACATTTTCCATTGATTAGATGCACATAGCTTTGCTTTAGATAAATGAGTTTAGCTGGCAACACAGGAAGGCAGACAACAAAGGCATATATTTTTGATCCTCTGCATAGAATAATAATTCTGACTCCATGCATGTCCGAATGTCTGGTCCTTAAATTTGAAACTCAAGGCACCAATATTTAAAATTGTCATTCTTTTGTTTTACAATATTTGTGTACATTGAAACTTCCCCGTGGCCCTAGTGAGGATAAAGCGGTTCGGAAAATGAATGAATGAATGAAACTTCATATTTACCAGTGTGTGTTAAAGCTAATAGTGGAAATTTGGAAACTGCAAAGCTGCACATGCTATAAATGTCACATTTTGTGGGACAGAGGCAACAGTGTTTAAAAGGGATATTTTGGGGGACACTGGAGATAGTGGACAATGGTTCTTGGGGGACTTTGAAACAGTCCCGAGAACTGTCGGTGTAACCAGCTGCCAAGTTGGCCAGATTGTCCTAATCGAGACAATAAAGTTACCCCCACATAAACTTTATTTCAATCAGGGATTCAAGGTAGGAGTGAGTGTGCAGTGGAGAGATAAAAACAAGTGTGTGTGTGTGTGTGTGTGTGTGTGTGTGTGTGTGTGTGTGTGTGTGTGTGTGGGTGTGTGTGTGTGTGTGTGTGTGTTCGTGCGTGTGTATTTATTTACCTTTGTGGCATCTATGTGGTCCTGCAGAGAGTCGATGAAGAGGTCTCCCACGGGCTCCCATGCGTCTCTCACGCCTTCGGCCTGCTCAAGGGCCACCGCCAGTTCCTCCATCACCGCCTGGATTTGGAGGAGACGCTCCAACGTCCTTTCCATGTGTCTGGTGGGTTTTGGAAAGCAATACAAATACAGTCGTTTCCATTGTCCAATTGTGTTCATCGGCAGAGTTCAAATGGCTGCAGTGATTGACGTTGCTCCCACGTTGCAGAGAGAATATTTACCTGTGAGCATGTGTTGCTGGTCTGTCTGTTTTTTGAAGGGTATATAATTACTGCAACAACCATGCAAATTTTTTAAGTGAATTTTCTTCAGTTGATGTTATACAACAAACTGCCTTTTCTTGATAGTGAGAGAATGTGAAAGGACGTCGCGACAGAGTTGAAGCATGTATTCATGTGTTAAATGTGTGAAAAACATATTGGAGGGGTAAAATTGTTCATATTTTTTTCAATCTTGCTTGTGTCATGATTTTTATTTATTTTTTTTCACACATCAACATTTATTTCTTTGTTTTTAAATGACTTAAACAGCTCCAGACTTACCCAAAATTAATTGTTATATTATTAATTAATTATCTTTTTTAATGAATAATTGAGTTTTAAATACATTTTTAATACAACAAATTGTAGACTGACGGGGCTTTGGTGGTGATTGGTGTCTTGGCTGTGTCAAAGATCAGCGACAACATTTTTTCCACTGCAAGACGGTTTTTTTTATTTTTTTTTAATGGAGTTCTGAATACTCCCTCCGGATAACTTTGTTGCTGAAAATTCCCCATTGACTGACATAAAACCAACGTTTTTTTAAGATCAAATAGCAGCATTTAATTTAGAAGTGGATATTTGACTTTTTTTTGTAATCACCATGATAAGAAAAATAGGAGTGACCTGTGTCGGTCCACACAGCGTGCCGTCAGCTTCTCCCACAGGTCGCTTGCCACGTTAGCCTGCTTCCACACCGATCGGCTTACATTCAGAATCCGCCGACGAGGCGAGACCTCTGCAGAGAAGGTAAAAATGGGTAGATATAATCTCAAAGGGATGATGTCGTAAAGATGAAAACACGCTTTGGTGTATCTTGCTGTTTTGGGATGAGATACGATATGTTTTACCTTCTAATCATTAAAAGTGCTTTTTCTTAATGCTGCAGGCAAAAAAAAAAAAAAGCTGTTTTCACCAGTCTTGGCATCAACAAAATATAAACATGCAAAAACAATATGAAAAAAAGATGAAAAGGTGTTTGTCAAAACAGAAAGATCCCGAAAATAACAAGGAAGGATTAGGAGGGAAGGAGAAAGCAAGAATTAGGGAAGAAACAAATCAAACTGAACTTTGTGATCTACGGCAGTCGCTGAGTCTCGACCCACTTTTGACAAAGTTAAGAACACAGAAAATGCATTGTTGGAAAAAAAGTCCTTTGAAAACATATATATAATATACACTGTATATCGTCCAGCTCTCATCCAGAATCCCGGATGACCTCACCTATCTCTAAGAGAGAGCCCAGAAATCCTGCAATGGAAACTCCCTTCGGATGCTCGTATCTGTAACCTTGTTTTTTCGGTCGCGACCCACAGCCCCTGACCATACGTAAGGGCGGCAAAGTTGATCAACCAGTTCAGGGAGCGCTTTGCCTTTCATCACTCTAGGCCCATGCAGTGATGCAGACGCTGTACCAATCCGCCTGTCAATCTCCCTCTTTATTCTGCCCACACTCATAAACAAGACCCCAAGATATTCGATCTCTTCCACATCAAGGACAGAAATAGCTAAATAATCCACAGAAACAGGAAACACTGCTGTAACTGTGCGTGCGTGCTTGTATTCTCATACCACTATGGAAACTAGTTCTTTGCGCGCCACTGGTGACACTTGAAACTTCCACAACCAACTTTTAATCCTGACGCCGTACTGGGTCCAAATGGATCTTTGACGTCAGAAATGTACAAGTACAGAAAGCAAATCTTTGTAATTCTTGGAGTTTTGCAAGAACTTTTGCCTACTTTTCTCAACACATCACTTGACAGTTTGGGAAATTACATTGTGAAACTCTTTGACCTCGGGGGTAAGTTTCCTTGGAATGCATAAGAGATGTCCCATGAGGTAAATTCTTGTCGACTGCACCTTGATCAAAGGCAGCGAATAACTTTTGTATACTCGGTTTCTGACAGTGAAGTGAGTTGACCTTTGCTTTCTGCCAGGGTCTCCTCCGGTTCCTGGAAGGGATGCTGAGCCAAGAAGGACTGGGCGGACTCCAAAACTGAGTAGATGAATGGCCCTCGAGACTTGACATCCTCCATGAAAGCCTGGTGAGATAATCAAAAGAAAAGGGCAGTAAGCATAAATAAAAATGTAAGAAAAAAAAATCAAAGAAGCAGCTTCTCAGAAAAATCAACAACCTCCTGACAGACATCTGAACGACTGAGAAGAAACGGTGCCGTGTTTATGAATGATTCAGTTACAAGCCCGGCGTACAGATTTGTAGAGCCTTCAGACAAACGTGACGATAATCCTTCACACTGAGGGAAAAAAAAAAAAAAAATGGTGGGCTTGGCTTCCAGTGATCTGTAATTCAAACAAGTTTACGTCAGCCATCTGTTACGGTATTTACTCCCAGGCAGTCAATGACAGTGATTTATCGCCACTGGGGAACGACCACCTGAGGAGAAAAAGCAAGATATCTACAGTGCTTACAAGCACACCCGAATGCACCATTAAGCAAGCAAGTGGATTGAGGCACTTGCCGACTGATATCTGGCAGGTAAAAGGCTGTGGATTATTTGGGACTGCACCAATATAGAGTAGAAAGAAGAGTTGTCACAGCTTTGATGCCGAATAAATGAAGTCGACACGAGGGCAGAAATTCCCCGTTTGCTCCTATGATTGAGTTAGTTTGGTCTATTCACTCAAAGTGCAGTGGCGACAATGAATCTAGTGGCGATAAGAAAAAGGGCTAGGCCTTTTTTTGATTGTTTATTAAATATGAAATTACAATATGGCAAAAATCAAAAATACAATAAGGCAAGTGAAAGTGGCATATAACAACTGCCGACGCACACGGATAATAGGAATTGCTTGTTTTTCGGGGAGCTGGAGCCTTATCAGACTCAGACTCAAATTTATTGTCATTCAATAAAAACATGTTGTAGCATAGAACAAAATTTCAAATGTGCAGCACGAAATAAAAACACAAAATACATTCTACAAACAACTCATATATGTCAGGCTCAAATGTTTATATCCCAGAAAGGTAGACACCAAACAAAACTCCGTAACAAAAATATTTATTTACATAAACAAAAGCGCACTGACAAAGTATGAATAGAAATCGCTGTTCAATAAGAACCAGGAAAAACAATAACAAAAGCGCTCGCAAAAGGCAAAGTTAAACCTCGAAAAACAACGAAATGTCAAGAATCCAATTCACTCATAAAACAAAAACAAAGTCACAAAACAAGGACTGTACTTAAAAAAACAGGGTACTAAGGGAACAAGAACAACTATGACAAGACCGAGAGGTCTAGAAAACAATCACTTGAGCAAGAAGAGCAGCAACAAGGTCAAAATAATCAGACTGACTCAAGGCAGTTTGTCAGTCCTTAAATACATGGCTAATGATAATTGGCAGTGGGTGTGCACACCGTGAGAAAGGCCCTCGTCTGCCACCTGCTGGAGACACACAGAAGAGGAGCATGACGTAGACCTTGCAATCAACCCAACATGCCAAACCCAAATATCAGTTGCCGTAAGATTTCGTCAGCATGTACGATTCAATTATTTTCATCCTGTGAAGAGCAGCAACAAGGTCAAAATAATCAGACTGACTCAAGGCAGTTTGTCAGTCCTTAAATACATGGCTAATGATAATTGGCAGCGGGTGTGCACACCGTGAGAAAGGCCCTCGTCTGCCACCTGCTGGAGACACACAAGAACAGGATCGTGAGAATATATGCAATAATAAAAGGGAGACTATATCCTGGACGGCTTGCCAGTCAGTCAGAGGCTACACAAAGAACCAGACAACCTTTGGCATTTTGCTTTGACACCATCACTGAGTGGGACTTGAAACCACGCTGCCAAATGAACCACGACCACTACACCATCAGGGACTCTCATTTTCCCCATTATTGCTCAACCGAGAACCTCCAAAATTATTCTTCCGCCTCTGACAAGTGTTGCAAATAGCCCCAGTATCATCTTTTCTTGTGAAATAGAGCCAGTGTGCTTCTGCCTTGACATCATGTTGAAAAAGTTAAGGACCAAAAACATGCCTTCTTCTTGGGTGTGATGTCATTACTCATTTGTGACATTAAAAGAATCGATAAGAGGAATAATCAGGAAAGCAAACAAACGATTTCTAGGGAATCAAATTACTGGGAATGGGCTCTGATAGAAAAACGGCTTTAGATTGCGGTCCCTAACCATCACAGCCTGCCTGGAGCTGTGATGAAAGACAGCATGTCCTCCATCTTAATAACTAATCTTTGCCAACTTCTGCCGTCGGGTATTAGTTTCCTTCAAATACAGTCATGTTATTAAGGTAGTTCTTTAATCTCTAAACTGTTTGTGTCCAGTAACAGAAACGTTTCCAAGGACCCATTCATAACACTACCGCCAATCAAGCATAACATATTCTACAGTACGCCACTGATTGTGTGTAAATTTGGAACGTTGCTGGTGGTTCAGTCCCCATTCTTTATGCACCGGTTGTAAATGGTCCGATCCCTGTCAAAAGCATCATTGTGCTCCAAACAACTTGAATAACTTCAGATGAGGGATACCAGTTGAGACACCATGAACACGCCAAGAAAGACATCAGCAGCAAGTTTTGAGCAGAGAAGTTACTTAAAGGGATCACGGAGCTCGACTGGCGGGATCACATGGGATTACACTGCAGTTGCGCTTGTGCTGGAAGCCCAGAGAAGGAGCTCAGAAAGCGGTCTGAATCCTCTGGGGGAAGTCATACAGCTGGCCTGCTGGCATAAAAGAGTCAATTAAATGGCAAGGAAGGCAGCTGCGCTGGATCTCCACTCCACAGCAACGCAGAGCTGAGCAGGAGCTGTGTGACGAGACATGCAGTCACAACATCGCAGCATGCCTGGAGGCGTGATGAATGAACGGCAGCATGTTCTCCATTTGAACTAATCATTGTCGACTTCGGCTTTCATTTCCTTCATATAATGTCATCAAGGTGAACAGCATGTGTTGAAATGTATTTTATGTAAGTCTTTACTTCAGGAGTTCTTGAACATTGTAGTTCCAAGGAGAGAATTTTATCCAAGGACACCCTCGTATAGGCTTGTGAGTGGTTTCAGTGGAGGTGATGCCTTATATCGAGGACGCAGTAAAATGGCACTTGGTTCAGAAATAAAACCTTTATTCTCCACAGGTTTTTCATAAGAGCCTTTTTTTTGGGAGGGGGGCTTTTCGGGGTTAGGAAATACGACATCAAATGATGCCGGGCTTGGCAGTCTGCTCGAAGGCGTGGCTCGATTTTTGTCGAAATGGAAGTTTTGTGCTTGAGCTTGAGACTTGGACCGCTTTTGGTATTGGGAGCAGTTTTCATTTTCTGCAATAACAATGTTCCAAATGACAGTCTTTTGGTGTTATGTTATCAGTAGTTTATAGAATAAAACAAAAATGTTCATCTGAACTCAAAGTAAAGAGCAAAATATGAGAATTTTTATTTATTTTTTTTTGTCCCCCAGAGCACTTTTAAGAAAGGTGTGATTCATGCTGCCGCACTTGTTGAGCTTATGGTACCACTGTGCTTTCTAGTATATTTCGTCATGCAACTCATTTGAATGCGAAATGATAACTTTCTTTGACCAGTAATGATGTTGTGGATGAAGTGTTCGCGTGCTGGTCACTCGCCAGCTTCAACACATCAAAAGAAAGGCAATTTACAAGCCAGCAAAAATATGATGCGGTCAAGTGACAAGTTTCAATATCAGCCCATAGCCCAGCAAACAAAATAAACACCATGTGGTGAGATTTCAACACAAAAGGCCAAAAGAAACGCAAGCATACAACAGTCATCGCTGAGCAAAATTTGAAATAAAAGCCTCAAATTCGAGAGCTGTCGCTGCAGATAAGATTCCCTGCGCAAATCTTGGAGACAAGCCTTCCTCCTTCACACGTACAAACAACCCACCTCCCTCCTCTATCTCAACCCCCCCTCTTTAAATTTTGTCTTTTTTTTAACTGCTCACCATTTTTACCCACTCTGGTTCCACATCGTTTCTATTTTCTCTCTTTCTCTCTCTCTCTCTCTCTCTCTCCCTCCCTCCCTCCCTCCCTCGCTCCCTCCCTCCCTACAGACTGACATAAAAAAGCTGATCCATGGATTCCTCAAGCAGCTACCTTGTTAAAACTTTAATACCGGCTAAATTTCACACTCCGAGGCTTCATATTTGGTTGAAGGAATATTAAGAGCCTTCAAATCAGATTAGAATGAATTATGCACAGTGTAGAACATTTCAGAGGCAGGAAACGACTTCATCTTAACATGTTGCTGGCATCGTATTTACCCCTCCCTTTAGACGGCCCCTCTTTGGGGTTTGTTGAACAAAAAAAAAAGACGGATTTTCTCTTCCTTTTACGTGAGGTAAAGAAAGAGTCTGGCGCTCTATCAAGAGCTGCAAAATCCTCCTTCCCCTGTTGCACACATGCTCACTCAGACAGGAATTCATCCCCATACAAAAAAAGATGTCGGAATAAATGCACTCAATAATTGACATCTCTTAAAACTCGAATTCTCCGGAGCAATTTCCCAATTTGTTTGGTTGGGGGAAGTTTCAGAACAACCAGGCGTAGGGGAAGCTAAGACATTGCGGATTTTAAATCAGGTTGTGCTGAAAATGGGACAGCCAAGGAGCAAGGAGAGGAGAGAAATCCAGATAGGAAGTGAGGGAACAAAACAAGTGCTGCTGCAACGCAAACGTTTTTAAATTGTCACTTTATAGGAAAGGTGGACAGACAACCAATGAAATGATGTAACGGTGTGGAGTTCCACAAGGGTCTGTTCTGAGAACCTTGCCGTTGCTGGTTATTTAACATATTAGGCTCAAATTATTTACATTTGTGTGGTATTTCCTTGGCATGACTACACTTTTGCTGTCAGGGATTTGACATCCTGTAAACCTAAAATGAAATAAATAAGTAAAAAAATGAAAATACATCTGTGTTTTTTGATAACTTCGAATGAAACTGTTGATTGGATGCCAACAGGTACTTCTTTCGTGTCCTTTTTATGGAGTATTATTTGTTATATCAGTAATTTTACAGTAAATCCAATATTGCCCCTGTTATGTTATACTTATTCAGATCAAGGATGACGCAATTGAGTGCTAATCTTAATTAATTTGCATTGTCAAGACGAACCAATATGATATGTTGCATAGCATTTAATGTGTACTGGTTAAACGGTCAGATACTTTCCTCGGTATTTATCGATCCAAAATCAGCAGATTCAACTTCAATAATTCACGTCCCAGATATCGACATTTACCACAAATGTGCCCCTTGGCTCTGTCCTGGGATCCCTCCTCTTCTACACATATCTCATCCCAAAAGGTAATATCTTCCACAAATTTCACATCCGCTTTTACAACTCCAACTCCCCTAACCCCGCCCACCAACATCACCATCATCAAACTTTCTGAAACTTAACAGTGACAAAACTGATTTCCCCCAGTTGTGTTGAAATCTGCACTTGCCAAAACTAACAGTTTCTCCATTACCATAGACAATTCTAACATTTACGCCTCTCCTCAGTTTCAGGTTATGAGCCTGTCATCCAACAGCACCCTATCATTTAACGCTCACATAAATAACATCACACGGTTCGCATCCTCCCTCCATCTCCGTAATATTAATCACCTCCGCCCAATCCCTCACGCCCCGTTCCACTGCCATCGCTGTTCACAGCAATTTCCTTCTTTTTAGTCTCCCTCACAAATCCCTTCATAAACTCCAAGTGGTCCATAATTCATGACAAAAGCCACAATCCTTCCACCAAATCAACCAATTTTTAGAACGGCTCAACGGACTACCGGATACATTTCAAAATCCTCCTGCTCACTTTCAAGGCCATCCATAATCTCACCCGACCAAATCTGTTGGACATCATACAGATTGCTACCATGACTAGCACCCCCATCCTCTTGCCATAATCACTGAAAATCATATGGATTGGTATCATCCTCCTCTGGCAGTTACCATCAGCTCCGCAGTAAGACACACAGTAATGTTAGCTGTTCTTCACAGAGGATAAAGCATGTATGCCTGTGAGTATTGTTACATTTATCTGTCTACATGTGTTGCTTGTGCAAACATCAAGTCAAAGGCAAAACAAGCTGGCTGAACGACGGCTATTATCTCAAACAAACAAAGGTCATTCATATCTCAAGGCATCACAGTCCAAAAGAAAATGATATTTAAAAGTAGTTTGATATTTTTTTTCCATTGTTGGGCAAGGCCATTTAGTCAAACGCTGTTGCACAATTCAGAGTTTAACCTGTGATGTACTTTTTGATTTGGTGAAAAGTGCTACTTCAAAAAGCTACTTAATAAAGAGTTAATCTTGCCACTTCTGTCAACTGGAAAACCAAGATGTCCTTGCGATATGTCATATCTTTTAATGTTATCAAATTGTAAGAATATTCCGCCAGCCGCCGGACAATAAACACTCTCAAATCCTACGATAACAGAAGCTGAGAGGGCCTTCTATCTTGAAACTCCGATTCATGACAATCACGACTCACCCCTTGATGCTGCTGTGCAAAAAACATAAAAAAGATCATAATCCTGCTTTTTTTTTAGCCCCTTCTGTACCATCCATTTTAGACTGGAACCAATTTACCATAGACAATGCAGATAGATATAAATGGCAGAGCAATCACACGCATCACACAGATCGTAGCACATGACCCTGGGAACACCCTCAATCCATTTTCACACTAAGGAAACAGATAGCGAGCTTAAAAGTGGAAAGGGGCACTCAGCGGGACTTTTCTTCGACGCCGCACTTCCATTAAGCCGTAACGCCCACTGAATACATCTCTCTGTATTTTTGTGTAAATCTATCACACTTGTGGTTATGAATCCCCTTGAGGCACAACAGACACTGGAGTCAATGGGTTCTATGCACCATTTGAAAAAGTCTTAGGCTTCACTACCTACCTGGTGGAATTCCCTCTGGTGCTGCACGGCCCCCACGTCGCCTCCTATGGGCAGGTGCTCCGACAGCTCCTCGTCCTTTGCTGTCAGCCATTCGATGATCTCCTGCAGGGAGAGCTGCAGCTTCCCACTGTTGTCCGAGATGGCCTCTATACGCACCCTGCCGACACATAAACACATGCAAAAATCTGGTAAGTTACTTCTACCGGCCCAGCGGTCACCTGATTTGACTCAAGTCACCAATTCCGAAATGGGACTTTTTTGGCTTGCTTATGAAAGACTTAACTTGACTTTGACTTGATATTTACAAGACACGTGCTGACTTAAATTTGAAGAGTATAACTTTTTTTTTGTCAGATTTTTAAAAATCACTCATGATGACTTCAGGCGGCTCGGTGGGCAAGTGGTTAGCGTGTCGACTTCACAGTGCAGAGGTCGTGGATTCGATCCCGGCTCCAGCCTTCCTATGTGGAGTTTGCATGTTCTCCCCATGCCTGCGTGGGTTCTCTCCAGGTACTCCAGTTTCCTCCCACATTCCAAAAACATGCTTGGCAGGCTGATTGAGCACTCTAAATTGTCCCTAGGTGTGAGTGTGAGCGCGGATGATTATTCGTCTCTGTGTGCCCTTCGATTGGCTGGCTACCAGTTCAAGGTGTACCCCGCCTACTGCCCGAAGACAGTTGGGATGGGCTCCAGCACCCCCCGCGACCCTTGTGAGGATAAAGAAGATCGGAAAATGGATGAATGGAAGGATGATGACTTCACAGTAGTTCATGATAAATATGATCGGTGAAGTGAAGAAATCAGCTGACAGGTAATGTGGTGTGACCACGTCACTAAATGTTATTGGCATGAAGACTAATTTTTTTTGTGAGGCTGTTGGGGTGTGTCCATGATGAGTGTACGAAATGGTTGACCCCGCGTAAGTCACACTTTGTGTCGCTGATTGGTTGTTTTCCTTCAGGCGTGGTGGTGTTTTTTGCATACTGAATTAGAGGTGCATATGATAATAAAATGTACAGTACTTGAGAAGGCAAGTCACAGCTCAGTCAAAATTATTTAGATAAGTAAAAATGTACTGTATGGAGAGTATGCTGCACGCAAATGGAATGAGCTGCTGGCAGAAGAGAAGGACGCAAGTGGGAAATTCAACTTTTTTTGCATACATTTTTTTTTACTATTTATTAAGTCATTCTATTTCCGTTCTATTACAAATTAAGATTATTGTTCTTAATTTTTGCAGTGAATTTGCCTATTGTGGGATCAATAAAGTCTTCTTCCTTTTTGTTTTCTTATTACAAGCGACATATAGCAAGGAAAGACAATAGAATTGCAAATGAAGCTCTGGGGTAATCACAGCGTGGTGAGGATAAATAATTCATTCAAAAGTAAGTAATTCATTAGCTGAGCTGACACTTTGTTATTGTTCCCAGCAAAACACAAACTAGATAACGGTTCTTTTTGTAATTATTATTATCTTGAATTACACTACAGAGGATAAACACCACAGAAAATGGAGGGATGGATGAATCTTTAATTACCACCAACCAGCATGACTTATCAGTGAGCAAAGTGTTGCTTTTGCGCTGCAGCTGGCATTAAAGGGGCATTAAAGAGACATTAGAGGCGTGAAAAAAAAATCCCAGCATTACATTTACACACCAGAAGCCGGCACTTGAGCATTATCACTACCTCACATCCCAATCACCATCATAAGTCGGAATGGAAGTGTATAAGAAAGCATAGGTGACTCATTAATATTCATAATATATAGCCACACAGTAATGTTACAAATGTATATATGGCGGTAAGGCATATGTGTCGCCAGATGGGGGGTCAGGGGTCCAGAAAGAGGTTTTCTCCACATGTGTCATTAGCACGCATTCAACAGCGGGTTCGCTTCAGTTCACATTAGCGAGTAGAAAAATGGAAGTGTAAGGCAATTTTCTGCAAACTGAATTTGGCACACACGAGCACACACGAGAGTCGTGGAATTACATCAAGGATGCCAGCCAGCTGGAGGGAGGGACAGAAGGTACACGGAAAGAGAGTGGGTAAGGATCTAAAGATTAGAATGAATTGATTAGGTCATAATTACATATGCCAGAGGCATGATGATGCTCATTTTTGATTGACACTGACTGGAAGGTATTCATTCAATATTATAAAATGCTTCACCTTGGGGTTGTCGTTGAAAGATATTCAGTATAAACAATACATGTAATGAGTACGTTTAAATGTGTGAATAAATTTCATATATCCTACAATACCAATAATGTATCTACTTTGTGTAATCTGTGTATCCTACAATACATCCTAAGAGTTGAACAACTTAAGTTTTCTGTAGTCGATTATAATGTGAAAGTTGATGAATCGATGACATCAATGATATTTTTTTTCGGCACAGTGTAGTTCTCCCTTGCACCACAGACCAGTTTCATGGAAAGACCAATTCTGATACACACGTTAAATGTTCACGCCCGACGTCTCGTGGAAGAGCATTTAATTGTTCTGCTTGTCACCCGACTAGATAGACGAGCAAAGCTTAATTATATGGAGCAGGTAATTGAGAATTTCCGAATCAATTCAGTGGAAAATAGATAATTTCCCGCAGTACTGCGGCGAGGAATCACAAGGATCCTGCAGGTATGTTGTGACCTGCAAGCATACATTTAGTCGCCCTATTACTCACGGATGCAATTGAATGAGATGGAGGGAAAGTCCTATTTTGTGGTGCTAACGGGCACGACTACGACATGCACATACACATCCAAATACAGCAGTCCAACTTGACACACCGCTGTTACACAAGAGCAAGGCTCTTGCAATGGCTATGCCTGAGTAAGGTCATCCATCAGCAGACAACCCTGACATCAAAATACTTCAAGCCTCACAACAGAGACCCCCACACATTCACAAGCTAATACAGAATGTGCACAGCAACACACACACACTCACACACACACACACAAAAAGAGCTAATAGCACATTTGTCCATCACAAGGGCTTCCATTATACCCTCCCAGAGAGCAACAAATAACGTAGTGAGTCTGTATTGGAATGAAAAGAGCATTAAACAGGAAGGGGGATGAGCATTCGTTCGATATTTCACTAGTGCACTTAATTGTACATTCACCAGTACGCTCTTTGTCTTCAGTATTTAGACAACTAGTGCACTAGTAGAATGACGAGGGTGCAGTGCTCACAGCCATATCTTTACGTTTCATTATTCATGCGCCGTCTTTCATTGCCCGTACCTCATTTATTCCATGTTATATTGCGGTTTGCCGTTTTTATATACAGTAGTATGTGTTTGTGTAGAGGAAATATCTTGTTGCTGCTCACCGAGTAAGAAACCCCAGGTAAGTGGATGTCGTCGCTTACAAAACTTTTCTGTTATCTAGGAAGCATTCGCTGGCAAGCTGACATCTCAGCCATTAGGTCGAAAGTTATTCTTCTGCTTTAGAGATTAGTAGAAACAACGTTATTGGAAGCAGGGTTCCGCGCAAATAGCCTGTAGACAGAAGGGGTAGCTGTGGATAATTGTAGATGGCCAGTGTGCAAGAATTGACGCAAACAGTTTGAGGGGAGCAGTCTGCCTTTACCTAACACAAAGACTTTCAAGAGAGCCCGGGACACAAATAATTCCAGGAAGTCCACTCACCAGTCTGAGGACAAACAGTGAGGGTAGATATTCTTATAAAAGGAACTCACCTGCGTAAACATGTTTTTTGTACAATTACACAACCAGGTCAGAATGACGCTTCTCTAGTTCATTCTAAAATACATTCGACTCATTTGGGGTCATTGACTTCAAACCAAACTAATGTTTCATTTTTGCCTCTGTCCCAATGCGAGATAATGGTAGAGTTTGCATCTGGTTGGTGAAGTGAATATAGTCCAACATGATGGTTTTCTTAGACTGAGTTCTGATAATGATAGGTTATGTTTGATCTTGTATTAGTGTGTGTGTGCGAGTGCATGTGATGCGTTACCACACAGCACATATTGTAAATATCCTGTATCAGGCATCTTTTATGATAACAAAATTCAGACAAATGCATACATGGTGTCTATAAAGATATACGATGCCTATTCTGATTATTGGACCTTGACGGAGGTCTGTACCCTACTCAATACCACTCCAGCTCTTTATTTTCCGTGACACAACAACAAAGTAAATAGCATGAAATGTGTTATCACAAAGGCCCCAATGTGTTTATCATTCAACACACCAACGGGGCATTGTTTCTCATTTGCAGTTGCTCTCTGGCCATCTGCCGATTTTATATCCCATCGTTTCCCTTCATTTTAGCTGCTTTTCAATCTCCACTAGCTTCAGGGGACATGTATCTACTTAAAGGGGCAAATCATGTTGCTGCAGCTGGGCACTGAAGAGAAAACACCACGAAGAGTTTTTTTTTTTTTTTCCAGCACAACAGTGAATGGGCTGCTGGCTGTAAAGCAGGCAGCAGTGTTAACAGTCATTGAAATGAGCAAGTGGCTGTTTGATGTGTAAATAATTTCTCCTCAACAAACACTGGAGCGCAACACTCACACTCAGATGGCATTAACATGCAGGGTAATCCAATCAGGAGTCTACGGCTCCAGCAACCACTTAGTTAGATCACCACTAGTACGTTTACAAATAATTGTTTTTCCCGTTCTATTAGAGAAGGTAGAATAAATCAAAAAGTACAGCCAACCCTCGCAATATCGTGGTTCATTTTGTACCCCTCTGCTATAGCGTTATGTGATCGTTTGCTAAGGGGTTTGAAAGTAAAAAAGCAAGTCCAAGATTAAACTTAACTGCCTTCATTGTTAGCTAAACATAATGTAGCACAACATTAATAGCAGTTATTTCTCAGAAAATGAGTAGCTACCTGTATTTCTCTGCTCTTCCCTGCTTTGTGAAGTAACATTAAGGCTGAAATGAAATGATGTTAGCATGCTAGTATAAGATGTACAGTAGCAAATCTATCTTCTTTACTTCACCAATTGTAGCGAATGGCTGTTAGTGCCCTGCGATTGGTTGGAAACCAGTTTGAATAAAAAGTTAAAAGTTAAAAGATGGATGGATGGATGTTTTCAGGAGTCTAAATGTATGCGTTGGGGGGGGGGGGGTATTAGTACAAATTAAAAAAATATATTTGGTATCTA